GGACCCCCCCCCCCCGGGCTAGAGCTGAGGCTGCCCTGCCAGGGGCCGGCAGTCTCGGGGAAGGGGCACTCATGAGGCTCACAGAGGCCGATGCCCGGCCTGGGAGCAGGAGCCTCGGGCGGTAGGGGTGGGGTTCCCACTAACAGGCAGATGCACAGCTCCTTCTCTATGGACTTTGCCAGAAGCCCGGAAGCCCCGCTTCACCTAGTACAGATCAGACGTGATGGGGCCCTCAAAGTCCGCACGTGGCCTCTTGGCCAATCCAGGCTTGCTTCTGTGCTGCGTACTGACTACTTACAAGACCTGGGGTAAGTTGCGTGACCTCTTTGAGCCTCAGCGTCCTTATCTGTAAAATGAGGGTGCCAGCAGTTCCAACTCCAAGGGCGTTGGGGAGGGACTCAGCGAAATGATGCAGGAAAGCCCTGAGCTCCGTCCTGCCCGGAAGCGAACATGGACGCCGGCGCTGGGCTGGAGGCCTCGCCCGAAATCGCACATGACGGCTCCCTGTGAACAATAATGCATGAGACCAACGGTGGTGATTACGCTCCCCGGGCTATGCCTGCAGGCCTCCTGCCAAGGCCTGACGCCGGGGGTGCCGCGGGGCGGGGGCAGCGGTCACGGTCGGGGGGCCCCTGCTCACAGTGAAGGTTTGCATGAAGCAGGAGAAAAGGCAAAAAGCAAAGCAAACCCCAGCCCATGCCTCTCAGTCCTCCCCGAGCTCCTCTGCAGCTCCTGGGGGAACTGAACTGCATAATACAATGGGATTTAATAAAATGCCTTTAACTCACAAAGTTTGTCTGCTGCCAGCTCCTTAATTAAATTGCCTAATGCCGCTCTGCAATGGCAGCACAAACGCCTATGTTTAAAGAGCTCGGGTGTTGCCATGGCGCTCCCTGCCAGGGTGTGCAGGAGCATACAGATGAGGCCTGGGGGCCGGGCCCCTTCTCCAGCGCCCTCCCCGCCACCCCTCACCGCTGCCAACCCACCCCCCAGCATCAAACACACCGCAGGGACAGACCCCACTCTGGTTTTGCTGGGAAGGGATTTCATCCCTGCTGAGGATGCTGAGCCAGGGCTTGAGAACTGGGGGCTCAGGGCAGAGCCGGCCCACGGTTCCGGCTGCGGTGGGCTGCAGGGCAGGCTGCAGGGTGGGCTGCAGGGCGGTGGGCTGCAGGGCAGGGCTGGCAGGGCGTGGGCTGCAGGGTCGGCTGCAGCAGTGGGCTGCAGGGCTGGCTGCAGGGCGGGCTGCAGGGCGGGCGTGCCGGGCGGGCTACGCACAGAGCGGCTGAGAGCTGCAGGGCCGGGCTGGGCGGGCTGCAGGGCGGTGCTGGCAGGGCGGGTGCAGGGGGGTGGGGCTTGCAGGGCGGCTCAGGGCAGTGTCAGTGGGCTGCGAGGGTGGCTGCAGGCGGCGGGCAGGAGTGGACTGCAGGGCCGGCTGCAGCGGTGGGCTGCAGGCGGCGCAGGGCGGCTGGCAGGGCGGTGGCGTGCAGGGCGGGCTGGCAGGGCGGGTGGGGCTGCAGGCGGGCCTGCAGGCGTTTTGGCCTGCAGGGTGGGCTGCAGGGCGGTGGGCTGCAGGGCGGGCTGCAGGGCGGGCTGCAGGGTGGGCTGCAGACACAGCCCCAGCCAGCGCTCAGAGCAGCTCTGCAGGGCCTGGGGCAGCCTCCCTCCCTGCACAAGCAGCCCCTCCCTGTCCCCTGCTGTGGGGTTCAACACCCCCGCCTGTGTGTGTGTGTGCCCGACCCCAGCAGGGTTGGGAAGCCCTGGCCTGGACTCTGGTCGGCTCGGTGAGGAAGGGAGCGTGTTCTTTCTCGTGCGGAGGGTGGAGAGAAGAGAAGCGCCCGTGCTTTGGATTTTCCCCTTCAGAGGCAGCGGTTCAGTCCCGGCTTCACATCAAACCAGCTGGGGATTTCCCCCCAGTATTTTTCTATGATGTGAAAAATTTCCAACACACAGCAAAACTGAAGGAGTTTTACAGTGAGCAGGCGTATACTCACCTCCTAGACCCTTCCCGGAACCTTTCACTAGCCCTGCTTTGTCACCTCTCCCTGCACCTGTCCGTCCATCTGTCCTAGTCTTGGTGCATTTCGAAGTAAGTTTTGGACATTAGGACACTTCTCCCTAAACACTTCGGTACCAACAACTATGGGGTTCACTTTTTGTTGACAGGTTTTATTTTTTTTTGATATAAAATTTTTTGATATAAAAAATTTTTTGATACAAAATTTACAGAGAAATCTCGGAAAGCGTTTTTATATATACCGTACCTGAGTCTTCCCCCTCAGAAACTGAGTTAATGGCTCTGGCGCAGGATTTAGGCATCGGTATATATTTTTAAGAGATTCCCATACGATTCTATGGTGCAGCCAAAGTTGAAAAACACAGAGTGGCTGGGAGCGGTGGCTCACACCTGTAACTAATCCTAGCACTTTGGGAGGCCGAGGTAGGAGGATCCCTTGAGGCTAAGAGTTTGAGATCAGCCTGAGCGAGAGTGAGACCCCATCTCTACAAAAAATACAGAAATTAGCCGGGCGTGGCAGCGCACGCCTGTAGTGCCAGCTACTCGGGAGGCTGAGGCAGGAGGATTGCCTGAGCCCAGGAGTTTGAGGTTGCCGTGAGCTAGGCTGATGCCAGTCCACTCCAGCCCAGGGTGACAGAGCAAGATTCTGTCTCCAAAAAACAAACAAACAAACAAAAACCCCAAACCCACAGAAACAGAGAGATAACAAGAGGCAAGTGATTGTCATTGTTACTTTTAGACCCCACCCCCAGGCAGGACACAGACACATCTGGCCTGTCCGTCCCTTGCTTCCCCTTCCAACACCACCCGCTTCCCCTCGTGCTCCACGTGTGCGCATCACACGCCCGTGGTCACCCTCCGTTTAGGGTGCATGCCCCTCAGCATACAGATGAGCCTGCTTGTTATCGGGGTCCCACCTGCTCGTGTGTCTTTCCCAGTGGCAGAGCCCGTGTCTGCTCCAGGCTCCGTGCCCATCACAGCAGTGAGACACGGCACACGTGCACGGATGGTGGTTGGGGTCCCTGTGATGGCCGGGACCGTGGCCGCAGACGGCGGAGATGCTGCTGCCAGTGGAGGGCGCTCGGAGGGACGTGTGGTCACGGCAGCGAGCAGGGGATGCAGGTGACCAAGGGGGGGCCGGTGACACTAACAGAGACGGCCAGCTGCAGGCAGGAAGCACATTGGTTGTCACGGGGGGGAAGGTTAGTCCCCCCGTTTGGGTTGAAATTCTGAGCGGCCACCTGAGAACCTCCTGTCCCTGGAGCCACGCAAGGGGCTCGGCAGAGCCGCAGGGCAGCTCCGTGGCCCTGCAGGACGGAGCTCTGGTGTTAAGGACGAGGGGGTCACTAGGAACGTCATTTAAGATGAATGGTTCCGGGAGCCCGCGGGCTTGGGACGCGGCCATCCCACGATCCACAGAGACTGCAATTGCTGTTCCCTTCATGCCTGGTGCAATCAGGGGAGGACAGAGGAAAACCGCTGCGGTTCCCCTTCCCTGAACCCAGGGAGCTGGGGGGCCGAGGCCAGCACGGCCCCAGAGCACCCCGACCTCTCTCCACAGGGCTTAGGTGACACCCCCTGAATTGCTCTGGGTTCTGGAGACAGTTTTAAGGATGAGAACAAAGTTGGAGCTACCAAGACACACGACATTTTAAAATACATATATATATTTATATGTAAATATATAAATAAGCCCATAGACTAAGGCTGAAAAATGCCTGTAAAATGTTGTCCACCTCTTTCATTTTATAGATGAGAAGACTAGGGTTAAGTGGTCAGGAAATAGGGTTCCTGCTGAGAACAACAATAGAGACATGTTTCATAGACATAGTGTCTCCAGGGGCGCAGAGTGAACTCGCACCTGTGGTCTGATAGGAGCCTTGCAAGGGTCCCGTGAGCAGGCAGGAAGCTTCCCGCCCGCCCGACCCATGGCTCCCGGGTCCCCTCCCACATTCTCTGCACCAAGCAATGAGCCTGGGTCGCGTTCAGACAGCACTTACAGCTAGCTCACCGTGTACGTTTCACACGCATGTCTCCATTCGATCTGTACATCGCTGCACAGAAAATAGATGGCTCTAGTCTTGTCCCCATTTTTCAGAGGGGAAAACTGAGGTTCGTGGAGGTCAAACGTCTTGCCTGAGCTTGCACAATCAGGAAGTGCCAGAGTGGGGACCAGGACCCAGGACCCCTGGGTTGCTTTCCTAGGGCTGCCGTTAACAAAGTCCCACGAATTGGGCGGCTTAAGAACAGCAGGAAGTTACTGTCTCACTGCTCTGGAGGCTGGAAGTCCAACGTGAATGTGTCATCAGGGCCATCGTCCCCCTGAAAGCTGCAGAGGAGGAATCTTGCTCCCTCTCCCTAGCTTCCCGTGCCGGCCATCAGTCCGTGTGTCCGTGTGTTCCGTGGCTCACGGCTGCAGCGCTTCAGGCCCCGTCTCTGCGGCACGTGGCCTTCTCCCCGGCGTCTCCGTCTTCACACGTCAGTTTCCTTTTCTTATGACGTTAGCAGTCACATTGGATTAGGGCCTTCCTTATGGCCTCATCTTCACGTGATTACATCTCTGAAGACCCTGTTTCCAAATAAGGTCACATTTACAGGTGCCAGGAGTTGGGACTTGAGCACATCTTTTTTTTTTTTTTTTTTTGAGACAGAGTCTCATTTTGTTGCCCAGGCTAGAGTGAGTGCCGTGGCGTCAGCCTAGCTCACAGCAACCTCAAACTCCTCCTGCCTCAGCCTCCCAAGTAGCTGGGACTACAGGCATGCGCCACCATGCCCGGCTAATTTTTTCTATATAGTTTTAGTTGGCCAATTAATTTGTTCCCATTTTTAGTAGAGACGGGGTCTCGCTCTTGCCCAAGCTGGTCTCGAACTCCTAAGCTCAAATGATCCACCCGCCTCGGCCTCCCAGAGTGATAGGATTACAGGCGTGAGCCACTGCGCCCAGCCAGGACGTCAGTACATCTTTTGGGGGGACATAATTCAAACCGTAACAGTCCCTGACTCCCAGGCCAGTGGCCTCTTGCAGCATGCTGTTTGCGGACCGTGCTCCCTCCTCTCTGCTGTCTCCTCCACGTCCTCGGTCACCCAGGACCGGGTGCTCCGTTCTCGGCAGGGGGAGCACTGTTCGTTTTCTGCTCTCCCCGAAGTCTTACAAGCTACTAAAGTAAAATCATAAAATATAGGTGGGCTTTTTATCTTTTTTATTTCCAGACAGTAAAAAATCATTAAGGCTTGCTCTTAATTAGTTTAATTTCAAAGCTTCTAAATATTGATTTAACCTACACTCTTTTGTACTTGCCGCAGTCACTGAATTATGCCTGTTATTGATCACAGATGGGAACGTTTCCTTCCACCAGGCTCGGGGCCCTGGGAGCCACTGGTCCCTGGAGGGAGCACTGGGCTCGGAGGGCATGGACGGGGGCAGCAGCAAGAGAGAGCCCCTGCCAGATTCGGAAGGGATTTCTCTTGAAGAAAGGCTGCCGGGCTTACGCCGGAGGCCAGTTTCTTTCTCTTGGGTTGGCCCAGGCCCAGCGGAGCTCAGACAAGAAGAAGTCCACTGGAAATCTCCCCATTGCATTCGGGCTTGGGGAAGAAGCAGGAGAGCTGGGCGCTGGGTTGGGGGGAGGAAGGAGGGTGGTGTGGGGTCGTGGGTGTTTGGGGCATGGGCTTTAGGGCCAGCCAAAGCCAAGTGTGAGTCGTGGCTTTGCTCTTGGGCAAGGGACCTCACTTCTCACAGCTGCGAAGGGGGCTGGTGTTTCCCACATCAGAGCGTCGCTGTGAGCATTGGCGTGGTCACTCCAGTTAGGCACAGTCAGAGGCCATCGTTATTCCACTGCCCTCCCACGGGGAGAATAAGGACTGGACTGTGAGCCTATAGCATCTTCTAGCATTCGCCCCATTGCTTGTTTGCTGTGTGATCTCGGGCAAGTCACTTAACATGGGGGTAATGGCATCCCTGACTGCATGTCTTAGTCTATTCTTGCTGCTATAACAGAATGCCACAGGACTGGGTAATTTATAAAGAACAGGAACTCATTTCTCGCGGTTCTGGAGGCTGGGAAGTCCAAGATCAGTGTGCCGGCACCTGGCGAGGGCTGCTGTCCACTTCCAAGATGGCGCCTTGCACGCCGTGTCCTCCAGAGGGGAGGAGGGCTGTGACCTCACGTGGCTGATGGCGGAAGGGCAAAAAGGGACCGAACTCCCTCCGCCAAGCCCCTTCATGATGGCGTCCATCCAGGCTCCCCCACCGTGACCCAAGCATCTCCCCAAAGGCCCCAGCTCCCAACACTGTGGCATTGGGGAGTCAGTCTCCAACACATGGGTTTGGGGGCCACATCCAGACCACAGCAACACAGGATCATGGATGCAGAAGAATTTTAACTGCAAGTTGCATCCAGTCCTGACAGATTATTATTGTGGCTGGCTGTAGTCGTGACTGCCTCCCACGCCCCCTTTGGCTGCCTCTGCCTGCCGTTCTGTGTCCAGACCATGGTGGCTCTGCCTGCGGCTCCAGCAGCGTCACCACGTCACCCATGCTCTCGGGGCCCCAGGGAGCCACTCACTGCCTGGAGCTCGTTTCATGTGTTTTCCTCCCAGGACCTTTGCTCCTGGTGTCCCCTGTACGTGCACAATGCCTTCCACCATCTGCGCGTCTGCGTGTACTGCCGGCAGGTTCAGGTGACACTCAGCCCATGCATCTGCTTAGCAGCGTTGTTGAAGTACAATTTGCGTTCCATCAAATTCACCGATTTTTAGTATACAGTTCGAAGATCTTTCGTAAATGTCCTATGAATGTTTGCCCAACTTCTACCCAAGGTGGAATCGTGCTCTTTCCCCTAGATTGTGCCCTGTTGCCCTTGCTCTGTGACAACTGCTATCGTGCCCTAGGGCACTGGTTTGGTTTGCTTTTTTAACCTGTGACTCCCTCCCCTGCCCGTAACTCTGTAGCCCCAGCCCCTCACATACGTACCGTGCCTGGCATACAGTCAGAGCTCTATTAATGCTCACTGGATAAAGAGTTTCCTTGTAGCAGGACAGAGGAGTCTAATCTGTTGGAGTATAAACAGCTCATCATAGATAGATAGATAGATAGATAGATAGATAGATAGATAGATAGATAGATAGATAGATTTTTTTAATTGAGCATTCTGGGTGCTGCTGTTCTTGGTTGGTGGAATTCCGATCTCAGCTGGCAGGGACGTAACAGATGGTCTAGCCCCGTGATTCTCAAACTTGCATGTGCAGCAGAACCACCTCCAGGGCTTGTCCAGACACAGGTGACTAGGGCCCACACTCGGGGTTTCTGATTCCAGAAGTCTCGGGTGGCCCAAGAACCTGCAATCCTAGCAAGTTCCCAGGCGACTCGGATCCTGCTGGTCCAGGAACCTCACTCACTGTGAGAGCCACTGCCCCAGCCCACCTCCCTCCTTCTGCAGACGAGGGGCCCAAAGGCCTAGAGAAGAAAGAAGACATGATCCAAAGTCTGGCCCCAGGCTGGGGCGAGAGCCCGGCCCTGCCCGGTGCTGTGACCAGGGCCACAGCTCTCCACACCCTGCCCGTCGCTGCTGCCATCCTGGCTTTGGAGAAGCTGGGCGAGGGCTGGAAGGCAGCACAGAGCTTCCTCGAAACGCTGTCCACAGGCCGGGCCGGCCAGGGGGAGTGAGGGGCCCGCCCAGCCAGAGGCTGTGGGCTGGGGAGGGATGGCCGGGAGGAGGTGGTGAGGACGGACAGGCCGTCCTCCTGCAGTTAGGCGGGAAAACCCACCACCAGGGCCGCAGCTGCAGCCATTTATCTCCGGGCCTGCCTGAGACAGCTGACAGAGGGACAAGGCAGCCAGCCCGCGCGGGGACCGAGGCTCCTTCCGCAGCGTGATTTATCTCCGAGCTGCATCTGGCAAACCTGCTGATGAAATGAGTCTCCTTTTCTCTCCGCCTCATCAATTTTCATTCTGATTTCATTTTCCTTTTCCGTTAGAAGGGGCTTGGCCTCTCTCTGCGTCCGGCTGGTCTGTTCCTCATGCGCCCTGCCCCCTTTCTCCTCGGCCGCCAGGGCCCCCGCCCTTCTGCCCAGCCTCTGCCCCCGCCCCGCCCTGAGGGTCCCGCCCTGTGCAGCGGGACACTGTGGGAGGGAACCCTGTCACGTCCCAGCAGTGCTGGAGTCCCCGCCACTGCTTCCCTGACTGTGCCTGGGGCCCTGCAGCCCCAGTCTGAGGGACAGTAGGCAGCTTCGCGCTGGGTGCGGGTTGTTGAGGGTGGAGGAAGGCGCCAGGTGCCATCAACTCTAGTTGCAGCGGGCGTGGTCAGAAAAGACCTCTTGGAGGTGCAGCAAGCACCGGTTCTTCAGAGCTGGCAAGAATCCCCCAGGTAAGCAGGTGAGGAAAGGACTTCTGGCCAGGACCCTGTATGTGCAAGGACACAGGACAGGGAAGGCCATTGCTTGCCCCTCTCTGAGGTCTTTCCTTCCCCCCTGCCCTCAGCTCCAGCTCCCAGGGATCCACTGTGGCTAACGGGGTGTCCTCGGGGCTTGGCTGCTGTTGGGGGGAGCCTCATAAAGACGGGTTTGGGGTCTGCCCAGTGCCCCCCTTCATTCCCTAGGGAGGGTGGCTGGGGAAGCCCATGGGGCCACGGCTGGGCTTGGCTGCCCATGTGGCTTGTGACTGTGGCCAGCGTGGACTGTCCGTGGGATGCCATCAAGCTGGGACGTTTAGAACACTTCTGGAAGGAACCCTTCCAGAGAACACCTGGGGAAACAGGGCGGGAGCTCACCCAGGCCAGGAGGAGCTGGCGCTGAGTTTGTCGGGCGACAGTTGTACGGGACGTGGGTGGTGTAAACACGCACTGGGCCCTAGAGCTGTCCTCAGGACGAGAGCTAGGACCCCATCGCAGACCCCGGGAAGGGCTTCTGGTTGACAAAGGAGAGGGCAGCTCCTGGTGGGAGGAGTGTCAGCCTGCACTGGGTTCCTAGGGAGAGGTGCGCCTTAGAGACCGCGTGCCCGGACAAGGTGGTCTAGAAGCCGGGGCGCGGCCCAGCCAGAGAAATGTGCCTCCAACAAATTGAAGTGGATGGAAAGGGAAAGAAACTGAGCACCGGGCACTGGATAGACATCTTGCTCAGGTCCCCCACGAGGCGGGGCTCGCCCCACCTCCCGGACGAGGACCCGAGTGAGGGTGCTGCAGTCCACGCAGCAGCAGGACTCAGGGGCAGCGCTGACTCCAAACCTTTACTGTGACCACCGGCCTAAGCGCAGAGAGGCTGGTGGAGTCCGGAGCATTTCCGGGGGGAGTCTGAGAGAGCCCCAGAAGGGTCAAGACCACCATAGGGTCATGGCAGAGCCAGAGGCAGAAACGTGCATCAGAGAAAAGTGCCTTCACCTGGGGGCCAGTGACCAGGGAAGGGCTAACGTGGCCATGGAGTGACCAGAACCAGGGAGGGGGAGTGGGGGTGTCCAGGGAAGACAGCTCTGGGCTGATATTTGCCTCCTTCCCGTTGGCCAGGAAGGAGGCAGGAGGGTCTGAGCCCACCTGCCAGGCAGGTGACCCTCCTGCACTTCTGAGCTCCTGAGCTCTGAGACAGCCCCCCCTCCCTCCTTGCCTTTCTCTCCTCCCCTCCCCTCCTCTTTCTTTCCTTCTCCAAATACCCTGAGCTCCTACTGCGTGCCAGACTGTCGGAAGAACTGGCGACTTGGAGCACGGCTCCTGCCCCTGAGGAGCACACAGTCTACGGGGGAGACAGCCAGCCAGGGTGTGACAGAGGGACGCTGGGGCACCATAGGGGCCCGGAAGAGGGGTGCAAGGGTGCAGAGAAGGCTTCCCTGGGGCCTGGCAGAAGTCCGGGCAGCAGGTGGCAGTGGGTCTCGGCCTGGCACTGCTGTCCGTGCCCCGGCAGGCTGGCTCGGCTCCCCTGCAGCCCGTTTTGGTGCAGTGAACTCAGACAGAAGTGACTGCGTGTGCTACCTACTGGCACCCTCCACTCCTAATTAAGAAATAACGAGGCCGCAGGCTCCCTTCCAGGCTTCAGAGCTCTGACACCCTCCGCCTGGGCCAGCCAGGAGACCTGGGAACACAGATTTCTGCCTGCAGAGAAGTCCCCTCCCTCCCAGGCCCAGCAAGGGGTTTTTGTGAAACGCTGACCCCTGTCATTCCAGGAGGGGAGGACAAGGGTGGACACCTGGTGCCCAGGAGATGCCCTCAGGTTTCCCGCCCTCCCTCCCAACCCCCAATCCCTCCCCACCAAGCCAGCCTCGGAGGTCAGGTGTGCTTCCAGCCCCCAAATCATGGCAATAGCAAGGGCTGGCGAATGAGACGCAGGTGGGTGGGGGCCCTGGCTCCTCCATGTCCCACCTGGGGCACTTCTCCAGGCTTAGGTTTCTCACCTTAAAAGCACCTCCCTCTCAGGGTCGTGGGGAGGGTGGGATGAGGCAGGTGCCGTGGCCAGCAAATAGCAGCCCTGGTGCTGGAAGGCCCTCAGGATTGCCCCATCCTCCCTCTGCCTCCTTGCTCTGTGCCGTCATCCTAGTAGCGCCAGCTAGAGTGGAAGGGACTCGCCTTACCAAAAGAGAGAGTCTCAGCAGAATAGTGGTTTTCGAGCTTTTATAGCTGCAGCCCAAGGCAAAAAATGGCTTGCATCCTGTCCTTGTCCAAGTGTGCGCGTATGTGTGTGAAACGGGAAAAAACTTTTCCAAGCAGTGCTTGATCTGCTACATGCAATGCGTTTTGACATTTCTGTTCTATTTCGTTTTTTTAAAATGCAGATTGTGACCCGCATTAAATGGTTTTCGTGACTCACTAATGGGCTGTGATTCACAGTTCACGGCAGAGCACCCCGCACGCCTCACCCCTACAAGGAGAGGGCACGTCCCAGGCTTGGGGACTCAGAGATTAATCACAAATCCCGCCCCCTTCCACCGAGGAGCTCAAGGTCTGGGACGACAGGCTCTTAGCGTAACACCCGGGAAGGTGAAGGTGCAACCATGGCTTATTTAGAGAGACTCAGGGACAGCTGTGGCCGAAACTGCCCTTCTCTGACGGAAGGCGTCCCAGAGGAGGTAGCACCCGGGATGGGGTTTTGTGGCCAAAGAGGGGTTTGATAGCTGAGGCTGGGGACGGGCACGGCGGGTAGAGCGAGAGGCTCGAGCGTGGGGGAAATAGCAAGTCTGCTCTAGCAGGAGTGGGACGTGAGAGGGTGGCCCTGGGTGAGCGGGGGAGCCCCAGAGCGGCTGCTGTAAGGGTCAGGAGCAGAGTTGGGGAGAGCAGGTGGCGTGAGGGTTGGGGGGTGTGTGTGTGCGTGGGAGAGGGCAGATCAAGAAGGTGGGGAGTCCCAGCCTTGGACACTGGGGCTGGCTGTGCTCCCTGATGGGGGGACCAGGAAGCACAGGCGGGCTTGGTGGGACGAGATGCAGGGTTGGGGACAAGCTGGACATGAGGAGCCTCTGAGACTGCAAGTAGAGATGCCCGGGGGTGGTCAGGAGCGTGGGGCTGGCCTGTCTTTCCCGGCCGCCCCTGCTTTGTCTTCCTGCCTAGCACCCCGAACTCTGATGAGGACACCTAGATGCACAGGGACACGGGGACACAGGGACAGTGGGTCACCTGCCGTCTTCCCACCTCAAGGCAGCACAGCGCTCCTGGCCCCGCCGAGCGGGTGCTGGCCGGCACTGGGGCAGCTTTTAGGCACGGGAGCTCTGGAACAAGAGAGAGGAACCTGTCTTTCTTCCTGGAGGTCACTGGTGAGGCGTGAGACCCCGGGAAGCTCCGGCCCCTTTGGACGTAGGAGGGCGAATTAAGTGAATTTAAAGTTCCCTCCTGCCAGAGCAGCCCAATTCCAGAGACGCTGGTCTCAAGTTGTGATGGAAAAAGGGGGGATTCTGGGCTGCAAAGACGGAACTGAGGGCTGGTGACAGACGTCAGGACCGGGGCTGGATGTGACTGGGGAGGGGCACGCAGGAACCCTCTGGAGTGCTGGGAATACCGTGTTTCCCCAAAAATAAGACCTACCCATAAAATAAGCCCTAGCAGGGTTTCTATTTCTTATTTTCTACCCTGAAAATAAGACCTGGTGACGGTCGTGGCTGCGCAGCACGTCTGCACAACCCATGCATGTCGTCGAGGAGCGGGAAAGAAAACGAGCAGCCCTTCTCGTCTGCCCCGTGAGAGCTCTGTGGCTCGACATGAGAGATCGGGGCCAGTGGTTCTAAAGGAAATAGAGTTGCAAGAAATTCAGGATGGGATTCGGGGTTTGGAGAGTGATGACGATGTTCCAGAAGACGATGACTGCACTATATTTGAATAAATGTAGATTGTTGTACTGTCTTTTAAAAAAAATAACACATCCCCTGAAAATAAGCCCCAGGGTGTCTTCTTGAGGAAAAATAAATATAAGACCCTGTCTTATTTTCGGAGAAACACGGTATTTACAGCTGGATCTGGGCGGTGGTTGAACCGGTAGCTACACATGGAGAAATGCACTGGGTCTGGGATCAGTGCCCTGCATATATTCTCCTGCACGCAGGTGGTGCCTCAACAATGTGTTTTAAAGGTTTATTACACAAGGGGAGATGAGAAGTGCGCGGTGAGACGGAGCGAGAGGCCCCGTGCTGGGGGATGGCGGGCACACCCCGTACTCCTCCCCGCAGCGCACGACCTCGACCCCGTCTCCTCGGTGAGGGCCCGGGTGTTCAGAAGGTTAAGGCCCTTGCCCAAGGTCACGCGGTGAGTGGCAAGGCCAGGCCCACGCTCTGGTGGCAAAGGCCAGCTTCCTGGAGCGCCAGCCTTCCTCCGTGGAAGTCACTGATGGACGCGGGCTCCGGAAGTCTAGATGAACGCCGCGGTCTCCTCCAGCCCCAGGTCCTGGTTGTGTGTGATTAAACGAAACGCGGGGGTCGCGGGGCCGTGCTCTCCTCCCGGGAGGAGCTGGAGGCCAGGTGTACAGATGGAGGCTGGCCTTCGCCCTCCCTCCGCGTCCCCTCCCCCCAGCGCTTATCTGCCGGGGAGGAGGCCGGAGTTTATCAACGCTACACTCAATTACGCTGCCCATCTGTCTCCGAGGCTCGGGGGGACCCGGCACTGAAGCAGCCAAGGCCAGGCCATCGATCATGCCTGCGTCCTCCCTCCAGGCCCCGGGCTCCTGGGGGCTGGGTGGGAGGCCACCAGGGAGAGAAGGGGGGGAAAGGGGAGGGCGAGACTGCACCCACCTACTCCAGGGGCTGTGCTGAGGGCAGGGCTGGAGGAGGAGAGAAGGAGAAAGCAGCTCCAGCTCTGGGGACAGCATCTCCAAGCCTCTTCCCTTAGAGCTTTGCCAGAGGTCTTAGTTTCACAGGGGTTGGGGGGATCAGTGCCACACCTGCTGCTGAATGCTGAGAAGCAGGGCTGCACAGGCAGGTCACACGGGGCTGCAGAGCCAGCCCTTCCGAGAGAAAAACTCGCCCTTGCAGTGGGCAACCAGTCCTGTGTCTTGGACCGTGGACCCAGGGCTGTGTGTCTCCCGTCCCCAAAGCCTACAGCTGGCCAGGAGTCCCTGCACAAAACAGGGGGCAGTCCCCAGCCCCAGGCAGAAGACAGGCCGAGGTCTGTGTGCAGCAGCTAGCTCTGTCTGTCCCCGTGGGTCCAGGCCCAGCTGCACTCACAGAGGAACAGTGTCCTGCCCCACACTGTCCCCCAAACGGGTCACTCTAGGCAGGAGTCAAGAACCTGGGGCGGAGGGGCCCAGCAGACGGCAGGCAGCGGGGAGGTGCTGAGGACTCAGGTTCATTGCTGCAGGGACTTGCAACCCCGGCGGCCACTCCGCGCCAGGCCCGCCCTCCGCGCCTGTGAAGCAGGCATTGATCCGCATTGCCTGGGCCCGGTTTGAATCCCGGCCCTACCACGGAGAAGCTGTGCAACCTCTGACAAGTCACTTAACCTTTCTGACCCTCAGTTTCCTCCCTGGCAAAACGAGACTAAACCATCCCTTCTTTGCCTATGCACGGGGTTGGCGGGGGGTTGAATGTCACCTGCACGTGCTCTACCCCGTTCGCTGCTTATATCCGCCTGCAGGTGCCCTCTGCATGCCCAATCCTACACTCGGGGCTCTGGGGACACAAAAGGCATGGAAGTCAAGGTCCCCGATGCAAGGAGCTTGAAATCCAATTGGGGGAAATGTGCATGCGATAGTGTGAACTCCTGATCACCCCTGGAGCTTGTAGATGAAAGACAATTAGCTTTCTCTGCAGCTCCCCGGTAGAAACTGCCAGTCAGCCTGCGCGAGTGGGCCACGTGCAAGGCAGCCTTACGCGGTGACGGCAGCTGAGTGGGCAGCTCTGAGCTCCATCCTGCAAGGGGCTGCGTGCTCAGCAGCGAGGGGGAGGATTTGTCTGGGCTCCTGCCAAGCCTTGGGGTCAGAGGTGCTACGCAAACATGAGTCATCAAGCCACTGCCTCTCTCTCTGGATCCTCAGGCCCAGGAGCCTCCAGCTCTGCCTCATCCGCCCAGCTCCGCCAGAGGAGGCGAGGAGGAGGGAAGTGCCTGGGCTGGAGGGGAAGGAGTCCCTGGGGGTTTTCAGTTAAGTTTTAAATGGCGCCTTGAGCCCCCCGGTGCAGCACTGACTCGGCACTGAGAACAAAGGTGCTGGCGGAGGAAAGGGAGGCATGGGGCTCAGGTCTAAAGGTCTGCGAGACGCTGCAGCTAGCTGAAGACCCCTCTCCACCTCCTCCAGCCCTCACCTCTCTCTTCCTCCGCTTGTGAACTGTCCTGGGCTCCCCTGATTGGCTAGCCTTTTTGGTCCTGCCTGCCCAAGCAGAGTGGCACTGCTAAAGGGGTGACCGTGTTACCTATTTCTGCTCACAGCTCCCCACCCTAGCTTGGGGCAGTACTGGGCCCCCAGGGTAAGCTGAAGGGAGTTTTGTTGAGCCCTAGGATCCCACTTCTACTGTCCCCTAAGAAGTCCTGAAGCTGGAGAGCCTCCCAACCCTGAGAGATGGCAAGAGCTGGAAGGGAGCTAACATTTATCCAGCTCTCTCTGTATGCAACACACTCAGCTTGTTGAATTCTAATGACAATGTCATTTTATACAGAAGGAAACAGGTGCTCAGAGGACTCAAGTAACTTTGCCCAGAGTGCTCTGGTGGCGCGTGGCAGGGCAAGGTTGTGGGTCCTGATCCATTTGCTGGTGGGTCTCCTCTGTCACACCAGGTCTGGGCGGGAGTCGGGATCCCTGGCATGTAAGTGTGGCAGGACCACTGGCCTTAGATCCAGTTCCATGACAGGGACCTCTTGGCCCTCAGATTGTTCCCTGCTTCCTCTCCACCCAGTAGAACACAGCAAAATTCCCTCCCCTCCCCCTGACCCCCAACCACTGCCTTAGGTGGCTGGGTTCCCCTGGCACATGTGTGCAGGTGCGCATGCGTGTGTGCACGTGTTGTTTGTTTGCCCTGAGTTTGAGGTAGTCAGCGCACACACACCCCCATGCAAAACCTCTGTGCCTTTTAAGTCACGGTTGCTTTTCCCACCTTCAGAAATAGCTGCAGGGGAAAGTGGGAAGTAGTCAAATGTAAACAGGCGCGCTCTCCTGCTCGGGGAAGGGTACCTTGCCCCAGCCCCAGCGTCCTGGAAGTGGGGTGAGGTGGGCAGAGCCCCTCTGGGTGGTGGCAGGAAACACAGCCTGCGCTTTCTGCAGCTGCCTGGTAAGGAGTCATCACTCCGGGGGACAAGAATAGGCGCCCAGCCTGCTGCTGCTGCTGCAGCCAGTGCACCCCAGACCCTCCAGGGGCCCAGGGCAGCCCCGGGCCAGACATGGACGCAGAGATGTGAGGTATAGCCAGCAGAACCACTGGGCTTGGGTTGATCCTTGTATCTCGCAGCTGTGTGACTTCAGCCAAGTCCTTTAAGCTCTGTTGGACCTCAGTTTCTTCATCTGCAAATTGGGGGTATTCATGCTTATGTCATAGACCTATAATGAAGGTTAAATGAAATAAGACATCCAGAGTCCTTGAAGAGTCCTGGACCATGGTAGGTGCTCGATAAGTGTGTGCACACTCTGCTGACACCGGCAGCTAAAAATCTACCTGGAATCAGACCTCCACTCAGAAGTCAGACCAGGCTCAAGAAGGGAACCCAGGGTCTGGTCACTTTTTGTTTCCATCTTTGGTTCTAGGCCAAGGCTGGACTTGCCTCCAAGTCAATCCAGTCTGGCCCTGGGACCTGAGAAGCGGGATTGGTTACCCACACCCAGGACGGAGGGAATAGCAGTGGCTTGGATTCTAGGGTCCAATATCCTGCGGAAAGCGGCCCTGGAGCCACAGAGACTTATTTATTCGATAAACACTCGCTGGGCACCCATCCCGGGCTACGGGCGCAAGAGTGAGCAAGACAGGTCTCTAGCTGGAGGGAGCTTTCCGCGTGATGCGGGCAGGGCCATGGCAGAAGGAAGCATGAGCGCTGTAAGAGCACAAAGCCAGCCCCTTGGCCAGCCGGGGGTGGGGAGGTTTTGGAGAAGCCCTCTGTAGGAGGTGATGGAACTTGAAGGACAAGTAGAAGGTGTCTGAGAGACATCGAGGAAGAGCCACGAGAAGGGGTGGCATGTCAGGGTAACTTCAACCCGAGACCTTTGTGCACAGCGGGTAAGCGGGGTGGCAGCCAGAGAAGCCAGGTGAAGGGGCCAGGCCAGGTCACAAAAGGTCTTACCTGCAGGGCTGAGGAGCTCAGACCCAGGCTTTTTAACCCCACTGCCTCCTCCCGGGCAGCTCCAGCAGGCTGTTGGGGAGGGGAGAGCCCCTGCCTCCAGGGTGGGGAAGTTGACAAAAAACCAAAGCAGAAGCCCCTACCCAGGAGAGCCTAGACACAGGGCCACCCCCACTTCCCCAGCCTGCCTGCCTGGATATGGGGTCACGTCCACTGTCTGTCAGCCTCTAGAGTCCCGGGGGGCCCATCCCAAATTTCAGAAGCTGCACTTGTTTCCGGCACCCCCTTCCCACCTCCTGCCTGCACCGCCAGAGGAATTTCTGGAAACTCTCATTTTACCTTCCATTTACCCAAGGGAGTCAAAGAGAGGGGGAGGAAAGAGATAAGAAAGGCTAGAGAACCTCTTACACATCTCTCTGGGCTCAGGACCCTGAAGGAGACAGGCATTCCAGCCCATCCACTCTCCTGCTGCCCCGGACGCCCACGTGCATGTGGGCGCGTGCACACACACTCTGTCCTCTTCTGCCCTGAAGACTCCCGCTCACTCGCTCCACAAGCAGGTCACAGGACAGGACACTAAAGCCGTAAGCACGGCGGGACGCAGCCCAGGAGCGCTGGCCCTGGCCGTGGCCATGCCTTCTGCAGCCTCCTGGGCCGCCTGAGTCGCAAAGCCGGGAGGAGGGGTAGACCCTGCTTCCGGCCGCCTCCTTACCTCTGCCTCCTCTTCTTCCAGGGCTGCCCCGACAGGCGTGGCCATGCGTGAGCAGGCCCCGCCCCGGTGGGCGAGGACGGGGAGCGGCACCCGGGAGGGCCAGAAGTGATGCGGCAGCGCGTCTCCGTGGCGTAGAATGACTGCCCTGGCGGGGCGGCTGCCCAGGCCCCGGCAGGGCTGCTGACCCTCGGCCTGCAGAGCGCGCAGAGCGGGACTCCGGACTCTTCCTGTGGGTGCTCCCCTGCCCTGCCGCCCCACCATGAGGCTCCTGGCGGCCCCCCTCTTGCTGGCGTGGGTGGCCGGCGCCACCGCCGCGGTGCCTGTGGTGCCCTGGCGCGTGCCCTGCCCCCCGCAGTGTGCCTGCCAGATCCGGCCCTGGTATACGCCCCGCTCGACCTACCGCGAGGCCACCACCGTGGACTGCAACGACCTGCTGCTGGCGGCGGTGCCCCCCGCACTCCCCGCAGGCACGCAGACCCTGCTACTGCAGAGCAACAGCATCGTCCGCGTGGACCAGAGTGAGCTCGGCTACCTGGCCAACCTCACGGAGCTGGACCTGTCCCAGAACAGCTTCTCGGATGCCCGAGACTGCGATTTCCACGCCCTGCCCCAGCTGCTGAGCCTGCACCTGGAGGAGAACCGGCTGACCCGGCTGGAGGACCACAGCTTTGCGGGGCTGGCCGGCCTGCAGGAGCTGTACCTCAACCACAACCAGCTCTACCGCATCGCCCCCCGCGCCTTCGCGGGCCTCGGCAACCTGCTGCGGCTGCACCTCAACTCCAACCTGCTGAGGGCCATCGACAGCCGCTGGTTCGAGATGCTGCCCAGCCTGGAGATCCTCATGATCGGCGGCAACAAGGTGGACGCCATCCTGGACATGAACTTCCGGCCCCTGGCCAACCTGCGCAGCCTGGTGCTGGCAGGCATGCACCTGCGGGAGATCTCCGACTACGCCCTGGAGGGGCTGCAGGGCCTGGAGAGCCTCTCCTTCTACGACAACCAGCTGGCCCGGGTGCCCCGGCGGGCACTGGAGCAGGTGCCCGGGCTCAAGTTCCTGGACCTGAACAAGAACCCACTGCAGCGGGTAGGGCCGGGGGACTTCGCCAACATGCTGCACCTCAAGGAGCTGGGGCTGAACAACATGGAGGAGCTGGTCTCCATCGACAAGTTCGCCCTGGTCAACCTCCCCGAGCTGACCAAGCTGGACGTCACCAACAACCCGCGGCTGTCCTTCATCCACCCCCGCGCCTTCCACCACCTGCCCCAGATGGAGACCCTCATGCTCAACAACAACGCTCTCAGTGCCTTGCACCGGCAGACGGTGGAGTCCCTGCCCAACCTGCAGGAGGTGGGTCTCCACGGCAACCCCATCCGCTGCGACTGCGTCATCCGCTGGGCCAACGCCACGGGCACCCGGGTCCGCTTCATCGAGCCACAGTCCACCCTGTGTGCGGAGCCGCCGGACCTCCAGCGCCGGCCGGTCCGCGAGGTGCCCTTCCGGGAGATGACGGACCGCTGCCTGCCCCTCATCTCCCCCCGCAGCTTCCCCCCCAGCCTCCAGGTGGCCAGCGGGGCGAGCACGGTGCTGCACTGCCGCGCGCTGGCCGAGCCGGAGCCCGAGATCTACTGGGTCACCCCGGCCGGGCTTCGACTGACGCCCGCCCATGCGGGCAGGCGGTACCGGGTGTACCCCGAGGGGACGCTGGAGCTGCGGCGGGTGACAGCGGAAGAGGCAGGGCTGTACACCTGCGTGGCCCAGAACCTGGTGGGGGCAGACACCAAGACGGTCAGCGTGGTTGTCGGCCGGGCCCTCCTCCAGCCAGGCAGGGGCCAGGGCCGGGGTCTGGAGCTCCGGGTGCAGGAGACCCACCCCTACCACATCCTGCTGTCTTGGGCGGCCCCACCCAACACGGTGTCCACCAACCTCACCTGGTCCAGCGCCTCCTCCCTCCGGGGCCGCGGGGCCCCTGCCCTGGCCCGCCTGCCCCGCGGCACGCACAGCTACAACATCACCCGCCTCCTTCAGGCCACGGAGTACTGGGCCTGCCTGCACGTGGCCTTCGCTGACGCCCATACCCAGTTGGCTTGCGTATGGGCCAGGACTAAAGAGGCCGCTCCTTGCCACAGAGCCCTGGGGCACCGGCCTGGGCTCATCGCCATCCTGGCTCTCGCTGTCCTCCTGCTGGCAGCTGGGCTAGCGGCCCGCCTCGGCACGGGCCAACCCAGGCAGAGGGCGGCCGGGCGCCCTCTCCCCCCAGCCTGGGCTTTCTGGGGCTGGACAGCCCCCTCCGTGCGGGTGGTGTCCGCACCCGTTGTCCTGCCCTGGAATCCAGGGAAGCAGCTGTCCAGGTCCTCGGAAGGGGAGGGGCTGTCACCGCCATTGTCTCGTAACTCCTGAAGCCCGGCCAGTTCTCAGCAGTGGAGAAATAGCTGGGACTACTTTTTACCAAAAGGGAAGCAATCTGGGCCAGACGCCCTGCCAGGAAAGTGACATGGACCACGTGCTTGAGGCCTGGCAGCTGGACCAAGACAGACGGGGCTTTGTGGCCCCCAGGGGTGCTCCTGTGGCCTCCAAAATAGCTGCCCTTACCTTCTGGGCTGCTCTGCTGCCGCTCAGAGGAACGTCGACCAGGATCGGGGGGGACTCTGGTGCGAGCCTCCGCCTCCCACTACCGACCTGCCCAGAGGCTCCCGGGCCTGCTTGGTCGTCCCCTGACTGTCCCCGGGCCCTGGCGCAAAGGATGCGGCCCCACTTCTTCTCTTTGTTTGTACAGTCTCGGTTGCCTGCTCCTTCCCCTCCTGGGCAAGGGCTGAAGGAGGCCTCTCCCCTCCATCTCGGGGCTGGCCTCACGGTGGCAGGGACCCCCAGCCACAGCTGAAGGACATTCGGGAGAGGGACGCCCAGGAACGCCCCCTCTCGGCAGCCCTGCTCGGCACTCAGAAGCGGACTTTCTATAGGCGGTTTTGTACCTTTGTGGAGAGATGTGTCCCCTCCCCGGACCCGATTCACTCTTTTCTCCTGTTTTGTAAAAAATAAAAATAAATAATGATGATGATGATGATGATGCCGGGGAAAGGAAATGAAAGGGAAATAATCCTGTGAGCACTGAGTCTCACTGACGAGCTCTCTGCTCCGGCCTCTCGTCAAGGCCTGGGGGTGGCGGGCAGGGGTGCGGCTGGGGTACCGTCAGGGGGAGAACAGGGACACGCGAAAGAGGGGACAGTTTTTCCTTTCTGGCTTGGATTCTGGCCTCTGGCCCTGCTCTCGGTCCCCAGATGTGGCCGGAGCAGGGGGGAGGGAGGCAGAGGAGGAGGCCGGGAGAGGGGTGGGCGAGAACAATGGGGACCAACCCAGAGATGGAGGCAGAACGGAAATTTCCATCAGCAGCAGCAAGCCTTGTCGCCCCTTCTCCTTCTCCGATAAGCAATTAACATGCCAGAGCATAGGAAGCACTTCCCGGCCTATTTCTAATTAAACAAACCCAAGAGGCAGAGTCATGCCGAGAATTGCAAATCATCAAGGCAGCAAGAACTTTGGCTGGCTGGGGCAGGAGGGGGCAGGGGTGACGGAGGGTTTGGGGAGGGGCGGGGCTACGGGATAAGGAAATTGCTGCATTTATCTTTCTGCTCCATTTTAGTCTAATCTGCAACGAGCCCGCCTTGCTCTTGCAGTGCGTGTCACATGAAGAGGAGCGGCTGTCGGGAGCCATCAGAGCGGAGGGCAGGGGCGGCGGAGGGCAGGGGCGGTGGCGGGCCAACTGAGGGGGCAGAGCCAGAGGCCACTGGCCACTGGGCAACAGTGTCCCTGAGATGGGCGCAGGTTCCCCGAGACCGACAGGAAGCCGCGCATGAGCCCGAGAGTCCCCCCAAATGTCGCGGAACACACGTGGCAGACTAGACCGCAAACGTGCACGCAGGTGGAAGCCAGACGGGTGACAGCCCAGGCCCCCAGACCTAGGAGGAGCCCAAGCCAGGGGCAGTGCCCCTCCCCCAGGAAGCGCCCAGGGAGCAGGACTGTCAGCAGGCGGCCAGGGGAGAAGCCGCCTTGCCTTGGGCGGGGCTCTCACACTTTAGCTGCTCAGAACACCCCGAGGGCTTGTTAGACACAGATGGCCGGGCTCACACGGAGCTTCTGATCTGCTAGAGCTGGGCGGGCGGAGAACCGGCATCGCTAGCGAGTCTCCAGGTGACGCTGATGTTCCTAGACTTGGAGGCCTGCCTGCGGCAGTTAGGACTTCCCGCTCCTCCTGCCCGGGCCTCAGCTTTCTTACAGACCGCAGTGTAGGGTGAGGCTCCGGAAGAGAGTTGGGATGGGACTGGGGGACGGTCCCTCCGCTGCTCCCACTCTCTGGCGGGTTGCTCAGCCCCGTTCCAGGGAGCCACCGCCCTGAGGTCCGCAGCCGCACGCACAACTGCTTTTCCCCAGGGGTGCGTTCTTGGGGTTGGGGAAAGCAGGGGGGCTTCCTTCACCCACACTTGTGCTCCTCCCTTCCTGCAGCGCCCGGCTAGACACCCGACACCCCACAGAGCTCCTGCCCGATGAGTTTGGGGGTCGTCACAGCCATGCTTCAGCCAGCCCTGCCAATGGCCTGGGGCTGGCCCGCTGTGGTTTAGCCTGTCCTCCATCCCGTGATCCGGAAGCTCTGCAGTGGGGAGAGGCGGGGCAGGGCCTGTGCTGATGGTGGAAAACTGGAGTCACCTCGCCTTTCTGCTCAGAAGGTCTGCAGTTGCTGCCTTTCTCGGCTGGCCCACCTGGCACGGAGAAGCAGGTGCTGTTCCCTTAAATGAGCACCCAGGGCCCTGTGGGAGCCTGTAGAGCCCTGTGACACTCTGGCATCTCCACCTCCACCGCCACCCAGAACTTCCCAAAGAGCCCCGTGCTGGTCGGTAGCAACCGAAAGACTTGTAAATGTGCCTGCAGTTGGAAAGGGACAGTTCCCAACCCCCCGGGACCGCTTGCTGCCTCGGATCTGTTTCCTACCTCCACTTCCCTCGGACGTCTCCGTTACAAATGGGAAACAGAGAGGCGGTTTGGGAGCCGCCAGCCCCTGGGGACAGGGAAAAATCGGGCAAGCCTGAGGATGCAGCTCTGCCTCCCAGGCCCCCGTGCCTGGTTCCTCACGCACTGCTGCATCTCAGCCACTGTGGGGCTCGCGGCTGCTTGAGCCCCTGCACCTGAATCCCTTCTTCTGGGGTCAAAGGTCAGCGATGGGGATTCCATCTGTCTTTCAACTGAACTCCCGGGTCCTGAACCGTTCGGCTACACCGGAGCAGTCAGGTGGGGTGGGGAAAGGAAGGCGGCTCGTGATGTCTTTTCTCCTGCAAAGACAGGTGACACTGCAGGGACAGAGCCAGCTGGGGACGGGGAGAAAAAGGCACTTTGTGGGTTGCTGTGTCGGGGAATGGCTGGAAGCCGAGCGGCTGTGAGCGGCCTCTCCCCGGTACACAGATGGACACCTGGCTCAGGTGTGTTTCCAGCCAGGGCAAAGGCCGTGGGACCGTCCCCTCCCCTCGCCACAACTCCATGTGTCTATTGCCACAGCCTAAGGTGGCATCCGAAGGGTTAGCTTTCACACCAGACCAAGCCTGCGGGCAGCGACACACGCTGGGTGTAGAATGAACGAAACAGCTGTTAAGCCTGGCCTCTTCTGGACACTCAGCCTGCATTTTCCTTTTAATCCTAAGTGGAAAATAATACTTATTTCAGCTTAAATTTTAAGCTGTTACTTAGGGCCTATCATTTCTTTTTTCTTTTCTTTTCTTTTTTTTTTTTTTTTTTTTTTTTTTTTTTTTTTTTGTGAGACAGAGTCTCACTCTGTTGCTCTGGGTAGAGTACAGTGCTGTCATCATAGCTCCTGGGCTCAAGCGATCCTCCTGCCTCAGCCTCCCAAGTAGCTGGGACTACAGGCATGCGCCACCATGCCCGGCTAATTTTTTTTTATTTTCAGTAGAGACGGGATCTCGTTCTTGCTCAGGCTGGTCTCGAACTCCAGAGCTCAAGTGGTCCTTCCACCTCGGCCTCCCAGAGTGCTAGGATTACAGGCGTGAGCCACCGCGTCCGGCCAGGGCCTATCATTTCTATCTATTGAGATGATTTCAAAACTTAGTCCACTTGTTAAGTGTATTCATTTCCCCTCCCTAGTGCATGCTACTGGCAAATTCCATCCTGCCTTCTAAGTCTCCACCCGTGGCTGGGATGGGTCAAGGAGCAGACCTGGGCAGGGGTCGATTCCGTGGCTCTCCACGGCAGCCTCCCACCAGCCGGACACTGGTCCTCTGAAGTAGGAGCTAGGGATACAGACAAAAATCCCTGAGCCTATGGACCTTGCCTTTTAGGAAGGGGAGAAAATCGATGAATAGGAGAAATAAGTAAAAACATATAATCTGTTCAACGGTAATGAGTACTATGTACTACGGAGAAAAAAAAAATTCAGGGAAGAGGATAAGGAGTGGGGGCTTAGATAGAATGTTCATGAAAGGCCTCGTTGAGAAGGTGACGTGTGAGCAAGGCTTGGAGGAGTGAACCAAGCAGGAGTTTGGGGGAAGAGTGGTCAGGCAGAGAGAAGAGCAAGGGTGAAGGCTAAGAGCAAGGAGGCTAGCCCGGCCGGAACGAGAGAGGGAGGAGGAGGAGGAACCTGAGACTTGACTTTGGCTCTTCCTTCCAGCAAGAAGGGGAGCCACCAGAGAGTTCTGCCCAGACCTGGCACGATTGGACTAAAGGGGATCCCTCGTTGCTAGACTGAGCCAGAGCAGGGGCTCGGGGTCCACAGTGGCAGGAGGGGAACAGCCAGTTGGGAGGCTGTTGCAGTCGTGATCTCAGTTCAATAATCTCTAGAGCTTTGCTAGGGATGGGTGCTAAATACACCTCTGTATTTTCTAAATCTGTCTTTGTTCCTATTTTTGAAATTTGGAGCCACTCTCTCAGAGGCTTCTGACTCCTCTCCATTTCCCCAGGATTCTTCAAAGGGGTTTGTGGAGATCAAGCCTCCACCACCGCGTTCGTGAGCTCTACCCGTGTCCCGCAGTGACACGGACACTCATTCAGGGTGCTGAGGAATGATCTCTATTGGTCTTCGATCCCATCTTCCTAGTGCTTGTTGCGGAAGCACGTCATTCCAGGGAGGCGGCAGGGACACGAGCAAGCCACTGTCCTGCTCTTCCGTCAGCCATCAACACTGCCTGTCCGGGAGTGTTCCTTCTTCTTCTTTTTTTTTTTTTTTTTTGAGACAGAGTCTCACTGTGTTGCCCAGGCTAGAGTGAGTGCCGTGGCGTCAGCCTGGCTCACAGCAACCTCAATCTCCTGGGCTCAAGCGATCCTCCTGCCTCAGCCTCCCGAGTAGCTGGGACTACAGGCATGCGCCACCACGCCCGGCTAATTTTTTCTATATTTTTAGTTGTCCAATTAATTTCTTTCTATTTTCAGTAGAGACGGGGTCTCACTCTTGCTCAGGCTGGTTTCGAACTCCTGACCTTGAGCGATCCTCCCGCCTCAGCCTTCCAGAGTGCTAGGATTACAGGCCACCGAGAGCCACCGCGCTGGCCCGTGTTCCCTCTTGATGATTTTACCGGAACCGCCCTCGTGTGCCCCTCAGAGGTTTCACAAGTATCAGATCAACCTGTCCTTTAGCCTAACCCAGTGTGATTCTTACCCGTTCGCGTCGTTCTTTTTCAGTTGTCATTTAAGAGCATCTTCCCCTATATATATATATATTTTGAATTTTAGATAATATTTTATTTTAAAATATTTTAAATATAAATTTCTTATTTCTCTTTACTCTTAGGTTCACAGTGGCAGAAGAGATTCCCCTATTTTTTGTAGAATGGCGATAATGGCTAACATGGATCGAGCACTTACCGCATGCTAGCCACGGTGTAGGGGTCCCATGGGCGTCACTTTAGCTCACCCACAGCGGCCTTACGAAGTGAGTACGATTATCCCCATTTTACACATTCCGATAACAGAGCTCGGGAGAGGTCAAATGATTTATGCAAAGCCACACAGCTAGCAGGCGGCAGAATCAGGATTCAAATGCTGTCTGACTCCAAGGGCTCGACCACTCCACTGTATTCAAATTTATATAGTTTCAAAGTCTGTCCGAAGTTTCCCGACAGCACGGGACTTCTGAGGTCTGTGTGCACCGGAGCTCCCCGTGCGGCCACTTTTATTTTGAGAGGCTGCCCTCCTTTTTTTCTTTTTTTCTTTTTTAAATCTGGGATAATTTGCGACTTTATTGTCAGGACTTTGATTGTGAAACCTCTTGAACCATGCTCTCTTGAGAACCCAGCTGGTGCTTCCTTCCTTGAAATTCCGAAACACGCTTTTACAGGCCTGGCTACGGCCCTCGCCTTTCATTCCCTGGATCCCGTCAACGCTACAACCCGCAGTGGCCTCCTCTGGAGGCTCTGTCGCTGCCCTCGCCACTCAGTTCTCTGCCGGTCAGGATGAAGTCCGGAACGGCTTTTGCCCGTGGCCTTCCTCTGCTTCCGAGCTCAGGTGGCAGCTGGGCAAGTCAGGAGCTCATCAGAGGCTCGACGCTGAGCCGAGCCGTGCGCCAAGCAAGTGCCTGGATGACAGAAGTCCCCACCACGGCTTCGCCTGGCTGCCAGGCCGATTTTACAGCCTCAGTTGGAACACGTGGCCCTGTGGTCCCCCCTTTCTTGCTACGTGGCCTGTACCATTCTCATACCACAGCACCCTCCTCCTGAGCCGTCCTCCTTTTACCCACACCCAACCAAAGCCTGGTTCTGCCTTGCTGGCCGTCCACGGCCCTGTTAGTCACGAACCGGTCACCCACCCTCCATCTCCAATGCAGACGCCAATTCCTTGCGCTCCTTTGGGTTCCTTTTTTCACAGCCCCAAGCCAAGAACCCAGAGCGGCCCTCTGCCTGTGGTGGAAATTCCCAGTCGCCAGTTCCCCGGCCCCCACCCCTTGAGCACCACCGCACACAGAAAGAGACCAGGTGTGTCTTGCTTCGAGATGTCTTCGAGCTCTGAAAGAGCCTTTGTTTGAAAACGCCAGCCTCCTTTGCAACAAGAGAACACCGGGAGGTCGAGGGAGCACTCCAGAGCTATTCCCTGTCTCCCGGTTGCCACCCTCGGGCATCAAAAGGGCCAGGCCACCAGCCCGCCAGGAGGGAAGAACGGCCCAGGCTCCAGCTCAGCCATAAGAGTGATGTGTGGTCTGCCGTGGCCTGGTACTGAGCCCACGGATATCTACCTTCTCATTTACTCTTGGGACCGTCTCGATGAGTTAGGCTGAACAGGTAATATCCCCATTTTATAAGCGAGGAGCCTGAGGCTTGGAAAATTCACATAACTTACCTAAGGCCACACAACCCGTAAGGGTAGGGCTGGAATTCGAACCCAGGTCTTCTCAGGTTGAATTCCTATGCTCCATCCACGTAACCACACTACCTTCCACATAAAGAACAAGGAAGTATAGGCCGGGCGCGGTGGCTCCCGCCTGTCATCCTAGCTCTCTGGGAGGCCGAGGCGGGCGGATCGCTCGAGGTCAGGAGTTCAAAACCAGCCTGAGCAAGAGCGAGACTCCGTCTCTACTATAAATAGAAATAAATTAACTGGCCAACTAATATATATAGAAAAAATTAGCCGGGCATGGTGGCGCATGCCTGTAGTCCCAGCTACTTGGGAGGCTGAGGCAGGAGGATCGCTTGAGCCCAGGAGTTTGAGGTTGCTGTGAGCGAGGCTGACGCCACGGCACTCACTCTAGCCTGGGCAACACAGCAAGACTCTGTCTCAGAAAAAAAAAAAGTATAGATGGCATGCACTGCTCTCCGGGCGTAACGCTGGACAGGAACCATCAGGTGCTAACCATAGAAGGTAAAGCGGAGACGGCGTGACTTACAATGACGGGCGTTATAGGAGCTGGGTGCTTGAGCACAAAGGGTCTCACCTGGGGAAACCCCAACTCTGGTAGCTGAAGCCCGCCCCAGGACGCATCTGGTTTAGGCCCCTGCCTCCCAATGGCCTGGATGCCACCACCTCCACTCATTTCACGGTGAGCGGCGGAGGCGGAACACTAACTTAGGCGTCCCGACTCAGAGCACGCTGTACTGGGTGGGAGTCGCTGGCAGACAGTGGCCATTTCCCCCCACCCAAGGCCTCCACCAGAGCCAGGGGTTCAGAGATGGAGAGTGCGTGGACCTCTGAGAACCGCTGTCAGATTTTTCTGTGTGCTCGTATGTGGGAAATTTTCTGGAGAAAGGACACCTTTAGATCTAACAAGATTCTGAAATGGGTCCAAAACCCAGAAAGGTCGAGAACTACTGCTTAGAGGGTCCTAGAATCATACTCACGGCTGCTGGATTCAAGACCGCCTTTGGGAGTTGCCAAGGGAAACAGCTGCCCGCGACCATCCGAGGGTCTGTCAGGGAGGATTAGATTGATGAACATCCACGGCTTCTACACCTAAACGGGATTCAGATTTAGAGAGAGAGAGACATTTCCTTTAACATAAGGGAAGTGAAGTGAGTTCTCGGTGTTTTTATTTGCAAAGCAAGGGCTCCTGTGTCTGCTCTTAGCCTTCAATCCAAGCTTCAAGCTCTCAGCCCATTACAACCTACAAGCGTCCTGGGGTTCGGCCGTCTCCCCGATGTCATCTCCACGGGTCCCCGACCCCTGAGAGCCGCAGCAGAGCCCACGCAGCCGGGCAGCACCGCTTCTCTGGCCGCCGCGTGCCCGGGGGAGGGCGGAGGATTCAGCCAAGCGCCCTGGGAAGCCTGGTCCAGAGCCCTTCTCTTCTCCGATCTTGGGCCGCTTAGATTCACCCAAATATCACAACGAGCCCGTCCCGAAGCGCTGTGTGCACACGGGGCACGCGCCTGTGCTCGCACACACGCGACTTCGGAATGTGCCGGGCGGCTCTGCTCCAGCCCCGGACTCTACACGCCATCTGCCAGAAGCTATTTTAAGCGCCTAATAAAACTGTTTGAGAACGAATCCTGGGGTGTTCTGCCCTTTGCTTCCCCAGAGCAAGAGGGACTGGGCTCCAGGTGGAGCTGGACTTTCCTACCAAGCAAAGAGGAGGAGGAAGAGTCAACCAACGGCTAGCGGGAGACCCCAGGGCCCCCACACACAAGCAGCACGGTGCATCTCAGCGTCGACTGCACTGGCTATTCCTGGGCTGATAACACCCCATCTGGGGGTGGGGGCTGCTAGGACCTTACTCTGAGGTTTTCACACCTGAGCACACAAGCAGAACCGCCTGGAGGGCTGTCAAAACACATGACCGGGCCCAGGGCCCAACCTCGGAGTTCCGACCCCCTGAGTTTGGGGTGGGGCCTCAACATCTGCGCTCCTAACGCAAATTCTCCAGTTACTTTGGGTTCAGGGACCACACGCTGAGAGCCAGTGATCTAACCCGGGAGCCCCTTGTGAGGCTTAAACGAGAAAATATGTCAAGCGCCTGGCACGCAGTGAGACCGCGGTTCTCAACCTGGGCTGTGCATTAGAATCGCCTGGGGAGCTTGAAACGTCCTGATGCTCAGCCTTGCTCGCCGATTAAATCAGAGTCTCTGGGGGGAGAGACGCACGTTACCACTTTTTTTTTTTTTTTTAAAGCTCCCAGGTGACTGAAATGTGCAGCCAAGGTTGAGCGTCCCTGTGCTAAGAGCTCCATAAATGTGAAATGCCCTTTATGAGCTACCCAGGCTCATACCTCTCTGCTTCAGGGCCTCCCTCCCCTCCTCCTCCTCCCCCGGGTCCCATCGCCTGCTCTGGCTCCCACGGGAAGGTCGGGCGGGGGTGGGGTGGGGGGGAGCTTAACCTTGGCTTTGGCTTCCAGAGTGGGTCCCAGGGACCACGCGGACGAAGAGAGCTGGTCTTTCTCGCAGTGGCTCACCAACCAGCCTGCCATCGCTGCGTCCCCGAGGGACTGGGGCCTCCAGGGAGAAGCAAAAGCCATGCGTCCCGGAAACGACAGAAACCCACTGCCCTGTGACTCCCACTCATTCGCTCCCAGCTCTGGAAGCTCCTGTCCCAGCCCTCCCCTCCCACAGGACTGGACCCAGCTACATGGAGGGGCCTTTCACGGCAAGGAGAAAAGACAACCTAGGCCGGGCGCGGTGGCTCACGCCTGTAATCCTAGCACTCTGGGAGGCCGAGGCAGGAGGACTGCTTGAGCTCAGGAGTTTGAGACCAGCCTGAGCAAGATCAAGGCCCCATCTCTACTAAAAATAGAAAGAAATTAGCCAAACAACTAAAAATAGAAAAAAATTAGCCGGGCATGGTGGCGCATGCCTGTAGTCCCAGCTACTCGGGAGGCTGAGGCAGGAGGATCGCTTGAGCCCAGGAATGTGAGGTTGCTGTGAGCGAGGCTGACGCCACGGCACTCACTCTAGCCTGGGCAACAAAGTGAGACTCTGTCTTAAAAAAAAGACATTCTGACAATGGAGGGTGCACTCACGATGATCATCAAAGTGTCAGAAGGGCAACTCGGAGGTGCTTTCTGTGGACGTTTACTCTCCGGCTCTCACAGGTTGTGCTGGGAAACGAAAGTCAACATAGCACAAAAATAGTCTCTAATGAAATGACCAATCTTGACCTTCACCTCTCGCTGATACGTTCTTCCGGTTTAACCCCAGCCTCTGCCTGCCCCCCCTCTCCCCCCCTCCCCGTGTCAAAGGCCTTTGTCAGTCTCCGCAGATCAAGGGTGGCTCCCACCGCACAAATACAAGATGAACCCGTTCCCAAGGGCAATTGCAGACCTTGCCCCGCAAAACGCAGGTTTCAATGAGGTTGCTGAACTCGGTGTTGGAGGAGCGTTTATGTCACCCACAGAGCTGCCTGGGGGAGACCGATTAAACCCAAGAAGAGAATGTCAACAAAGATCAGGACACAATAGTTACCTCGAAAATGCATGATTTGGGATATCAAAAATTAAGAGGTCTATGGGGAGTGGATGAAGCACCACAATAGTTATGCAAAAACAAAGACTCTCTGTAAGATCCTGCTGCAAAAGTCCAACGAGAAGTGACGAGCGTTTCCCTCCAGAGATCTGCCTGGTTAAGCAGTCCAGTCTTCCCCGAGGAAAGAACTTCCAGGTTATGTCGAGAGCACACGGCAGCGATGATAGAGAGTTAGACTCGGGGGGATGCAGATTAAAGCTCAGACAAGGAGGCCGAGTGAAGACTGCAACAGTCCGTGAGGGCTCTGCCCAGCAGGAGGAACTGGGCTTGCTTTTGAAGGAGGACATGTACCCACCACCACCACCACCACTGTCTTCCCGCCTGTCTCCATGGATACCTGCCACATGCCAGTCAATAAGGGCCCCGAAATCTACGTCTCCCGTGCGGAATACAACGAGGAATTAAATTGTGATGTTTAAGGTCAAGTTCTCAGGAACACAGGCATGCAGTGGACCAGGCCACGTGGCAGAGGCAGGCCACGGGCTAGAGGGGCCCCTCGAGGTGCAGGAGGAGGGCACGCCTGGGAGACCACGCACACCCCTTGGTGCCCTCGGCCCCGCCCATCTGGGTGTGCTGCCAGCCGGCCCGCCAAGGGGCCTCCACGGGTCTGGCTGTTTTAGCCAGAGGAGCGAGGGGGAAGGGCAGAATCACATTGGAGCAAAAGGGAAATCAGTGGCAGCCTTCCCCTCCGCACTGGCGTTCCTGTCCATGCACAGAAGAGGCTCCCCCCCTGCCGTCCCAGCCCTCCCCTGCCTGCAGCCCGACCCCAGAGAGGCAGAGCAGGGAGGAGGAGGAGGAAGGTAGAGTCTCCCCAGGCGGGTGTGAGACCCAAAGCAACCTCACATTTCCTGCCTCTCAGCCTCCCCGCTATTTTTACAGAGAAGAAACAGGATAAGATTAGCATCGAGGGGCAAGCCAGGTGTTAGTGCTGCACAGAGAGGGGAGGAGAGGTGGCGTACGTGTGTGCAGGTGCAGCTAGGGAAAGCAGCAGCCGTGGTCCCTGGCCATGCTGCCGCCAGCTAGGTGCCCAGCGGCTTCTCCCCTCGTCCCCTCCCGCTGCCTGTGCAGGGGAAGGGCCCTGGGAGCCAGTGCCTGGCCCCGAGGTGGCTCAGATGAGAGGAGTCTGAATTGGGGTTGAGGAAGGGACCGCTGCTAATACCCCACCCCACCCTCACTCCTGCTTTGCTTTTTTTTAAAAGAAAATTTAAATCATCTGACTTATTTTTTCTTTTCATTTTTAATTCTGGTACAAAAAAACCCACACATAACAAAATTTATCATCTTATTTCTAAGTGTACAGTGGTGTTAAGCACATTCTCATTGTTGTGAACCAGACACCTGAACTCTTCATCTCGCAAAACTCTGCACGGATTAGCAGCAGCTGCCCGCCCCCCGCTCCCCCAGCCCCTGGCAGCCACCACTCCACTTCCCGTCTCTATGCATTTGGCTGTTTTAGATACTTCATACAATTAAAATCATACAGTTTTCATCTTTTTTTGTTTGTTTGAGACAGAGTCTCACTCTGTCACCCCAGGTAGAGTGCCGTGGTGTCATCACAGCTCATTGCAACCTCTAACTCCTGGGCTCAAGCGATCCTCCTGCCTCAGCCTCCCGAGTAGCTGGGACTACAGGCATGCACCACCATGCCCGGCTAATTTTTTCTATTTTTAGTAGAGATGGGGTCTTGCTCCTGCTGAGGCTGGTCTTGAACTTCTAAGCTCAAGGGATCCGCCCACCTCAGCCTCCCAGAGTGCTAGGATTACAGGCGTGAGCCACCGCGCCCGGCCTAGTACTCATCTAGGTTCAACCCTCAGTGTTCATCCATGTTGTAGAACATACCAGAATTTCCTTCCGTGGTAAAGCTGGGTAATATTCCATGTTATGCATACACCACATTCTGTTTATCCATTCACCTGTCGATGGACATTGGGTTGCTTCCACCTCTTGGCTACTCTGAATAAGTTGCTACGAACATGAACATACAAATAGCTCTTCAAGTCTCTGTTTTCAATTCTTTTGGATATATACCTAGAAGTGAGATGGCAGGCTCATATAGTAATTATGTTTTTAATTTTCTTAAGAACGGCCATACTGTTTTCCACAGCGGCTGCATCATTTTACAGTCCTACCAGCAGTGCACAGGGTTCCAATTTCTCCACCCTGCTTTGCTTTTAAAAGAACCTTTGAGAACTAGGGGCTCCCAGCATCTCTGGACTTGAAATGAGAACCCAGGGCCTCGGTTGGGTTTGACAGTTGCAGTCCCGGCCCTTCTCTGCCTTCTCTTCAGGGCTCCCTATTTCCATTTCTGGAAGAATCTCATGGCCAGTACTCAGCCCCTGAGCAGCCATGCCCTCCAGCAGGCCCGGGAGGAACAAGGAAAACAAGGGCTTCCAAGGCAGCCAGGAAAACAAACCCGCAAGAGCACTGGGCTCAGATGACAGCTCCCAGTGCAGGGGAGAGACGGATGAGAGGAGAGCAGTGGGCTCCCGCCCCCTCCTGGGCAAGGGTAAGGAGAGGAAGAGCAGAGGCTGGGCGGGGAGAACGGTGTGGAAGTCCAGGCCACCGTCAGCCCTACCCAGTCCCCCGACAGCCTCCCCTGAGCCCCTCTGCTTTGCGTTAGGGACCCAGCAGCAAAGGCTCGTTCTAAAGCCATGTCTGGTCCCATCGCATCCCTGCGTAACGAGTTCCGGAAGCTCCTCGCTGCCCTCAGGCCAAAGTCCGAACTCCCTGGTGCACAGTGGCAGCCCTCCGTGCCCGGCCCCCGCCTGCTTCTCCGGTGTCTGGTGCTGGGTCTCTCCCTCCACTCTGACGTCCGGCCACGCGGCAGGTGGCGCAGCGCTAGAACACACCGCGCTTGCCGTCTTCTCCGCTGGGCCTTCGTGCACGATGTCCCCTCAGCTCGGAACGCTCTCCCCGCACACCACCCTCCTCCCCCTCCTCTTCATCTGGCTAGTTCCACTCATCCTTTGGGTCTCAGCCTAGATGTCACTTCCACCAGGAAGCCTTCCATGACCTCCTCCGATTCTGGGTCAGGACCTTTTCTCAGTTCTGCCCTGGGGCCGATCTCAGGACTCATCCTGGCTGTGTTCTCTGTTGGCTTCACTTAATTCCTAAAACACTCGGTTCCGTAAGGAGAGCAGAGTCTTGTCCACTGTTTTCCCCAACACCTCGGACGCTGCCCGGCTCAGCGTAGATTTCATTAAAAGCTTTTTGAGGAGTGAATGAATGCGTGAGTGAATACATGAAGGACCACTGCTGAGAACTGGGGGAGCCGGTGGCTATCAGACTGCCACCACCCCTCCCAGCCACGTGACCGCAAAGTGCCCGAACATGCGACCATGTCAAGTTAAAAACTGGCCAGACCTTTTGATTTCCTTTTTCTCATCTTCTGGTTTTTAAGTGTCTTCCCAAAATTATGGAAAACAAAGGTAGACCCCCCAAAAAAAGAAGGGAGTGGAACCCCACAAATGAAACCTGAAACACAAACTGTTGGGCTTCCTTGGAAAGTGGTTCCAAGGCTCTGGATTGTGGGTGTATTTAAATTGATCTGGCTTTTCCTGCCCCAGACCCCAGGTAATGGAGAGTTTGCAGTTTCTTCAAGGCCCGCCCTGACTTCCCAGCTCTGACCAATGAGGACGTTGCTCCCCCTCGGCCCTCCCTCCTCCCACCACCCATCCCCGCCCTCCTCCTCTTGTCAGCAGACCTGTGATCTACACACGGCTCCCCGGGAGCCCGCCTGGCCCAGGGGCCCCAGGAGCCAGGTGTGACAGTGATGTATCTGTCCAGCCTGGGCTCTAATTGGCCATTCCCCG